TCCAGGGCGCCAGCAAAGCAGCTGCGCTGGCCAAAACAGCCACGCTGGCGACCAGTGGGGCTCCTCTGCCTGGGAATCTCATGATTTGTGGGCAATAAAAATCCGTCTGGAAATGCGGCATCCACTCACCCTCTGCACTTTCACTGGGAGCTGCAATCCTGAGCTTTTCCTAGTCTGCCATCTTGGGTCCTCCTTCTTTTTTACTATTTTTTTGGGCTCAATTACAATAACGGAAGTAAAGAACAAATTATAAAAGTTAAAGAGCAATGCAGGGCATGGTGGCTCATGCCTGTAATTCTGGCACTTTGGGAGGCCAAGGTGGGTGGATCATGAAGACAGGAGATCAAGATCATTTTACCCAATATGGTGAAACCCCATCTCTACTGAATGTACAAAAATTAGCTGGGCATGGTGGCAGGCACCTGTAGTCCCAACTACTCAGGAGGCTGAGGCAGGAGAATTGTTTTAACATGGGAGATGGAGGTTGCAGTGAGCTGAGATTGTGGCATTGCACTCCCACCTGGCAACAGAGTGAGACTTCATAAAAAAAAAAAAATTAAAGAGCAATACAGATTCAATAATTATTCTTTTCTACAAATTATATTTAAATGATATCCCTTTTTTTTTCAGTTACACCTTAAGCTGTAAAAGCCAAAGGCCCAGGAATATCTTGTACTTTTTTTCCAGTCTCATGTTGAAGATCTTTATGTAGAAGGACTTTCCAAAGGATTTTTATTTTCCGGGACAAAGTTTTCTTTCTTGTCACCCAGCCTGGAGTGCAGTGGTGTGATCTCGGCTGGCTGCAATCTCTGCCTCCTGGGTTCAAGCAATTCTCCTTCGTCAGCCTCCTTATTGGCCAGGCTGGTCTCAAAATCCTGAGTTTGTGATTTACCACCTTGGTCTCTGAAAGTGCTGGGATTACAGGCATGAGCCATCATACTTGGCCCATTTTACATATTTTTATCTTTCACTTTGTAATTCTTCTGGGTCCAACACTGAGTCAGTCACGCCAGTATTAGCTTTTGAAACATAAACACTGTCCACATCTGATTGGCATGCAATTGACATTTTCTTTTTGAGTTCTGATTGGCTTAATCTGAGGAGGGCCTCTGTGATGTCACAGGGATGGGTTTTCAGGGAAGTCACAGGGGCAGTACAGGACCTGGAAATGTGTTATCTTCTCCTCAGAGTGAAGCCTGGTAACCGCAGCTGGAGAAGGGCAGTTGACAAACTGACCCAGTACAGTGTTTATGTGGGTCAAAAATGGAAAACTGTGTACAGGTGTGGCTGAGGTAGGGGGATCCCTTCAGTCCAGGAGTTCAAGAGCAGCCTGGGCAACACGGTGTGACTCCATATCTGAGTCCCACCTCAGCCTCTCAGCTACTTGGACCCCAGTGTTCAAGGCTGCAATGAGCTGTGATCCCACGACAGCACTCCAACTTGCAAGACTGAAAATCCTGCGTAAAAAAAAACAAAAAAAGAAAATTATCCAAGGGCGCAACAGTGGGGGACTGCCTAAAGAAAACATGAGGCTGCCTGGGCCATGTAATCCCAGCACTTTGAGGGCCAAGGTGGGAGGATGGCTTGGGCTGATGAGTTTGAGATCAGCCTGGGCAACATGATGAAACCCTGTCTCTACAAAAAATATAAAAATTAGCTGGGTGCATGCACAGCTGGTCTAATTTTTGTAGAGATGAGGAGTGGTCTTGCTATGTTGCCCAGGCTGGTCAACTCCTAGGTTGAAGCAACCTTATGACCTTATCTTTCAGAGTTGTTAGGATTACTGGCGTCAGCCACTGCCCCCACCTGGGTTAGGCTATTTAATAATATAAGAAAGTGCGCCGGGCGTGGTGGCTCACGCCTGTAATCCCAGCACTTTGGGAGGCCGAGGCGGGTGGATCACGAGGTCAAGAGATCAAGACCATCCTGGTCAACACGGCGAAGCCCCGTCTCCACTAAAACTACAAAAAATTAGCTGGGCATGGTGGCGCGTGCCTGTAATCCCAGGTACTCAGGAGGCTGAGGCAGGAGAATTGCCTGAACCCAGGAGGCAGAGGTTGCGGTGAGCCGAGATCGCACCATTGCACTCCAACCTGGGTAACAAGAGCAAAAATCCGTCTCAAAAA